ACACAACACAACACAACACAACACACCACAACACACACACAACACACACAACACACACAACACACACAACACACACAACACACACAACACACACAACACACACACAACACACACAACACACACAACACACACCCACACCCACACGCACACGCACACGCACACGCACACGCACACGCACACACACACACACACACACACACACACACACACACACACACACACACACACACACACACACACACACACAACACACACAACACACACACACACACAACACACACAACACACACAACACACACAACACACACAACACACACAACACACACAACACACACAACACACACAACACACACACAACACACACAACACACACAACACACACACAACACACACAACACACACACAACACACACAACACACACACACACAACACACACAACACACACACAACACACACACACACACACACAACACACACACACACACACACGCCATGCCGCTCACCCAACCCACCCCAACTACACCAAACCCCAGCCCCCAGCCCAACCCCACCCCACAAATCCCGGCTTCGAGCTACCCGCACCCGGCCATCGCCTTCGTACATCTCTGCAGGCGCCAAGCGCAACAAGTTGGAAGGCTCCTGCGAGGACGTTCCGCAGGCGATTTGGAAAACTCTGTGGCCAAAAGGCACAGAATCTGCTCTCGCCGTTAGAGGTCTTCCAGTAGAGAGGTTAGAACAAGGGTACCAACTTTTTTTTTCTGTAGTCTACTTTAGTAGGGGAACCCTCCCCCAAAAAAGAAATAAAAGGGCACTACTGGGGGACCTAGTTAGGGAACAGCATGAGCCGAGTGATCACCAAACAGATTCCATCCCTTGCCACCCACCAAAACATTCACTGTTTCACTTGTGGACGCAGCCGAGCCCTGCCCCTTACTTGCCCAGTTTCTCACGAGAAAGCCGGACTGACGATTTTGGAGGGCATGCCGCACCAACAAAAGCGCCAGCAAACAAGCAAGTAGACGGGCCCGATCGCCCGATCGCTTCCATCCCCTCTTTGTTTGTTCAAAGGGAGTGTCCCTTGCAAACCCCCAGTACGAAACGGAAACTATAACATCTATGCCACTTAGGCATCGGAAGCCTGTCGGAAGCCCACATGCAAACACGCCTTGCAAACTGGACACAGCCCACAAGTAGCACAAGTTCCTTCAAAGCCATCAGCAGGGGTTCCCCTTTGTGTTTTCAAGTTTTGAGGACCGCTTCTTGGCCCAAAGCGTCCAAGGCGCTTTGCCACTGCTGCCTTCACTCCACATTTCCGGCCGCCCGCGCCTGCGCCTCCAAGCCATCAGGATACCCGCGATCCTCCGCGCGATCTTCCGCGGGAGCTTCGCTGAAGGCGCCGGCGCCCGCGGAGTCCGCGTGGCCGGCGCCGCCTTGGGCGGCTTTGCCGGCGCCGGCGCCAGCGACGGGGTCGGCTTCGATCGCCTCCTAGGCGCGGAAGCGCTGGGCTGGACGGCCAGTCCGCATGAACAAGGCCGGGGTTTCCGATACGGTCATCTTCTCCCAGGATTCTAGTTGGAAAACCCGAGTCGGAAGGGATCTTGTGGGCCTCTGCGCAGTCATAATAGGGGAGCTGGATAGAAGAAAAGAGGAGAGAGGGAGAGGAGGGGCGGGGAGGGAAGGGGAGAGGAGATGAGGGGAGTGCAGGGAAGGGGGAGGGAGGAAGGTAGTCAGAAAGGAAGAAAGAGAAAGTGAGAGAGAGAGAGAGAAAGACAAGAGACAAGAGGCAAGAGACAGAGAGCAGAGTTGGGCATGTTGCAAGACCCTCATGGCTCCCTTCCCCAACCAAAGCCAACAACAAAAACCGAAAGCCACAGGGGAGGGCTGGCAGGTGGCTTTCCAACCCAGAATTTGAGTTGTAACCCAAGCCATCAGACCCCAAACCACTGCTCCAGCCCGTGTTTCAGCACTCTTTTTTATTGATTGGGATCGGGGGGCTACCGCCGCTTCGCAAAGCAAAGCTAGATTTGACACAGCTTTTCAATTGTTTTCTCTTTTTGCTTTGCGCTATACATGGCAGTGGGATGTGTACACCTCTGCCTGCTGAGTGTGGTCGCCTCTGCAACGATGCAAAGGAGGGTGGGGCGCGAGTGCACGCGCCCGCACAGAAACACACAGCCCCGCGCACGAGCAAACACCACAAGTACAGCATGCTCACCATTAAACAAGGCTGCCCATCAAAAGCTGCACAAGACTACTGTAGACTTCTCTCACTTCAAACAAAGTAAGTCCAACTGGTTTGTGTGTGGAAGCCTCCTATTTGCTAGTTTGCCCCTTGATGCATGGCCAATGATGGCCACCAGTTTTTCCATACCAACCCACAAACAGATCCTCATGTTTTTTTTTGAGGCGTGCCGAACTGCCAAAGGATTCTGCGAGACAGCAAAGGGCCCGCTTTCTGCCGTAGGTGAGCCATTTTTGCCCCCGAATCGCTGAGCTGAAAATAGACAGAGCGGATCTTGGCCCTCATCAGGGGTACACAGAAATAATATGCTCAGACTAGTCAGAATTAGTGTCCCCTAAAACATACATAACACACACAAAACAACTAGTTTTCCAGGAGACTACGAGAATAATGTTACAAGTGGCCTAGTTTTGGCCCATCTGAGCTCTTCGCCTTGGGGCTTTCGCACGAGACTGCCTGGCCGGCCGAACTCCCAGCGGGTGAAGGGGAGCTGGGTCTCTGGTCTCCCCGTTTCACTTCCCACAGCTTGGTGGGCTGACCCCCGATTCATCAACCCCAGGAGGGAAAAAGGGGGGGGGGGGTTTCTTGGTGAAATGTAGGGATTCAGACCACTTTAGCGGAACACCCCTCTTATCAATCAACTGGGGTTGATTAATGGGGGGTCAACATTAGTGGCTTGGAGGGTTCTTTTCATTTGCCGAGAACCAGGGGTTGAAACTCCCAAGCCACCAAGGAGATCCAAGTAGGGGCGATAGATCAATTTGCCGAGAACCAGGGGTTGAAACTCCCAAACCACCAAGGAGATCCAAGTAGGGGCGATAGATCAATAACAAGGCACCTCAAATGAAAACACCTCGATAGACAGTTCCCCTCAAAGGAGAGCCGCTCTTTCAAGGAGAGCAAAGGCCATCAAGACAACCGTTTGGGTTGACATGACCACGAACTTGGACAACTAAGCATCGCCGTCTCATGAAATCTACATATCCAGCCGCTGTTGCGGAAGCGGCAATCGGGCACTTCCCTACTTGGCTCCATAGCTGCGAATTGCAACGAAACCCGTTGGCTATCTCAGCGTGGGGTCTAGCTGGTCTGTTCTCAAGGATTGTTTTCAAAGAATCGCAGCCACGCCCCGGGCACGATGACCTTCAAGTACACGATGTGTTGTTTAAAAAGGCTCCCAGCAGTTTTCCGCGCGAGAACTTTTCGCGCACTCATCCCTGAGGCCAAAAAATTGAAAGGGGTAAAGCTGCCGCGGTGGGCTGACTGCCATCAACATCTAAACGACAAGTTCAACAGGTTCGTAGCACCCTTTCAGGGTTTCTGACCGAAGGGTTCTGAAACCCTTCTGGGGATAGTCCAAACATCCCTCCGGGTTGTGGTTGAGTCTGGCTGATTCAGTTGCAATATTTAGGGCATCCGTAGTATGTTTGCTCTTAAGCCCCCTGCAAAAAATAAATATTGCCAATAGCGGTAGGTCCCGTGGGAAAATGCAAAAACTCACGTCCTTAGTGGATGGCCCAAGACAAGTGACCAAATTTGTTATTTATTACAAAAATGGTCCAAACGCAAAAAGTGACTCCAAAGTCCAGAAAGTCACGTGAGAACATGTTCTTAAGCAAATGGAAAGTTACCATGATTAGGGTTAGGCACAGCTATAGAATGTATACTGCATTGTCTGCTCCACATTGAGTCACTGGTAAACTGTAAAATGTATCCTAACCCTACCCCAGTTACCATTGGGCCCACTCCATTTCCCACTACATCTCCAACCTCCGCATCGTTTGCGTGGGCCTCGCCATCTGGCTCCTCTGCCACTGACGTCACTGCCTGGCGGTGCTGGTCGCTTCCCGGCTGCAGGGGTGACTCCAATTTGAGCCCGGAGATAACAGGAACTCCTTGATGTTGACCCCATATTAATCAACCCCAGTTGATTAGTACGGGGGTTGGGGGGGTCCCTCCAAGAGTGATGATTCCCCACTAAACGCAGGGACACCCAGCTATTAATAAACAGGGATTGATCAACATGGGGTAAACATTACCTTGGTTGCTGATGACCCCTCTGCAAAAAAATCAATGTTCTGTGGGTCCAAGGGAAAATTCAGTGCTTCCGAAAAGATAAAGTCCAAAGATCCAACCAAATAGCCACGAAGCTACAGGCGGGTTCTTGACTTCTACGAACGCCCCCTTCAGGATCAGAAGGAGATCCTGGTCGCAAGGTGTGAGCACAAAGCAGGCCGGCAAAGCAGGCATTTGCGCCCCCCTTATTTCAGCAAACGTGCTTTTGGAGAGGGATCACACAGCGGGCATCGTTGTGCGTGACAAAAGACAGTTTGGAAAGCCCTGGCCTGGAAATCATCTCTTCAACAATTGGCCAGAACTGGTCTAAAAAAGAGACAGGTGGTTCCTACCAAACCCGCCGGGGACACACTCTGACCCTCTTGGGGACCCTTCGGAACTCAATCCAACAACTCCACACCCACTCACGCAACTCCGACCGCTCGCGACTTCAGGACTGCAACACCCCTTGAGGTGTGTGTTTACGTTGTCGGCAGGAATTGCCATTCACATCAACCACAAGCCGGAACTACGAAATCCCCCCAGTAATTACCATGGTGAGCTCGTTCTTTCCCCCCCTCCCTGGAGCTTGCTAGACATGTGAAGCTGCCGAGGTTTTTCAGCGCGGTGCCAATCCCGGTTCCACGCAAGAGCCAACGCTGGACTCTCGTAAGGCATGCTGCTTGGATCCATGCAGGCTGCAAACACAGCAAGTCTTGGTTGGCAGACCGTTGAGACATATAACAGGCAACAGCGCTTTCTGTAGTGCCCTTGTTGGTGGCCTGGTCGCAACTTTGGGGTGAGGCAAATATCTAGAACTTGGACCTGCTCCCAAACACTAACAGTCACCAGAAGTTGAAAGACCAGTTTACTGGGTGGTTAAACCAAATTATTAACATCTACTGTTCGTGGGCCGAGGCAGTGTCCAATCTGAAGCATCCCTCATCAACTCGCAAAATTGCCTAATTGACCACAATCTGATGTTTTGCGGCTCCTTGTGGGGCGTTCCACACTAGAACCTTTACTTTTTAAAGCCACGTGGGAAAGATCTTGTGGGCTGCCAATGTGAAAAGCCTAAATGAGGTCTGCCTTAAGGGTTTGATTGAGGCCTGGGTCCCAACCCAAACATCTTTATGGAGGCCCTTGCCCTTTCCATCCTCTGTGCTCGTCCCTCACTTCCTGGGCAGATTGTTCTTGCTGGCTGCTCAGACATCTTGACAAAACATTTCAAGCCCAGAACTAGAGAATTCAGGATTGTATGGGGCTGGAGGAGCCGGGGCTTCACGCGCCTCAGGGCTTGTCTCCGGTACATCGCTCTCCTCGCCTGGAATGATGTGTACACTGATAACGTCTCGCGAGCCTGGTTCATGGGTGCGTGCTCAGCTGGAACGAAACCACCCAGTTTGGGCTAGATTTTGGTTCACCACAATGATCTTCCCAACGAACAAGTGCTTGGAAAGTAAAGTCTCACTCCTGCAGCGGATTGGACAAAACTTGGCCACCCTCCCTGCGAATGGAAGAGCGGCACCACTGCAGGTGGTCGGGTTCACCCTCCAACATGGCACGGGCCTTCAAGAAGAAATTGATCTTCCATGTCTTAAACAATTAATTAGAATAGCTTCTGGAGTAGTTTCAATCTATAGAGCCATGGTAGGAGTACAATATGAATTACTGCATGTTGCGCCTACATTAATTACCCTCCAACAGTTCTATACTTCCCTTGCAAGCATCTGCCCTCCAACTTGGGCCCACCAACGTGGGCCATCCCAATGGCTACGTTCTCACTTAAAAGCAGATTCCATTGGTATCAAAGAAAGCAGCTCTTTAAAACCCGAGCTTCCATCTGGACAAAACATACAAAAAGCATGGAAGCTGAAAGCGGTCTCAAGGAACACTGGTCCAAACTAGGGGCCCTTCCAGGTTTCATGGTGGCTTTAGGCTTTCAGAAGAGATGCAGGCGGTGTAGGCGAAGTGATGCCGCCAGTACCAAAAGGACAAAATGAGCCATGTTTAAAATTAATAGGATGCCCCCCCCCATGATTAGCACAGGCTTATGCACATTGCCCTCAGTTGCCCAAAGGACCCAGCCACACAAGGTTCACCTTGAACTATGATCAAACATTGAAAAGGGGGACAGTAAAAGGTCATATCCGGACGATTCGCTTTAGGCAAGTGAGCCTATTGCAAAGGTGAACCCTGCGGTCCCATTCAAGATGCGGATCACTTTGCGAGTTGCACCCATTCCGCTAAAGGAGTGGCCCCCGAAAGTGTCCGTTGGGTTTCCCTTACCCGGTTGGCCCGGAAGCCCGGTATGTTTGGGCGTCGTGCGGGCATTCCTTGCACCTTGCTGCGTGTCGCACCTGTGCGTGAATGCCCCAACCTGCCCCTTGCTACAACACCCGTTCGGCCCCGTCATGTAGCTCCCTGCCACCAGCCCCGCCGGACTCCGACGTTGCGTTTTGTTGCCAGCATCTCGCGTTGGTGGACGGGTCACGCCCCGAATCTGCGAACGCTTGGATTCACCTTCCTTCTCATCACATGAGTCACAATCAAAACCCGGTGTTAAAATGGCATGTAAAGAATTAAGAAGGCGGCCGCAACTATTTCTGGCTGGGACTGCCCCTTACTAACCTTCATCTACCCGGGTTTTGATTGTGGCTCACATGGCATGGGCTCCTGTCCACCGCCCGACAGAGGGCCGGTGGGACCCTGAGTGGACTTGCCTTCGTTGCGGCTCTTGCCTTACCACGCAAGATCCTCTCCTGCCGGGAGCGCCGTCTCCCCTTTGGTTTCCCTTTGGCTTCCGAATCCCATTCTGGAAACCCCCACCTGAAGTGTAGCAACAAGCTCTTCAACAGCATAACCTGCTGATGGTTGGCACATCAAACATTTAACGTAGCCCAAAAGTCCCTAAAAAACATTACAAGAAAATGGGATGGCTTTATCATCAGGCCAGACCCCCAAACACATCTTAGACACCGCCAAGCAGCTTTCCAGGCCCCGGGTCTCGCCTTCAGCCTCGCCGGTCGCTTCCAGGACTCTCCTCGGAAAATAAGGAAAGGAACATAAAGACCCCCGTCACCTGCCCTATTTTTTCTCCGAAAGGGACGCCACCAACTTTGTGTCTTCATCCAGAAAACTGGCAACTGGCACACTTGACGAGTCGGAAATTTGTCAAGACTCTTCTCAGGAACCTCCAGTCCCACCCAGTCCCTTTTTAGAAAGCAACAGAACACCAGGAAGTGTAGAGACGAAAGGCCTTAGCGCCAACGGCTTTTCAACCCGAAGCATGAAAGGACAAGGTCATGGCCTTCTGGATGTTCCCGAACGGAGACAAGCGCTCAAACGGCTGTGTGACAGAAAGCGAGTGCAGCCGTGAGTGAACACAACAACTTTTGATTCTGGCCGACATGCTGCCAACCTTAAAATGCCAAACACATGATTGAAAAAAACAGCCCAGAGGCCCCTGAGCCGCCCCTTCAGTCGAAGCACGCAGCAGCGCGGCCACACCGCACCAGCGCCCTCAAACAGCCGCCAGCGCGGGTGCACAACTCCTGGCGACTCACACGGTCCCTAAACACAGGGTTCCTTCAAGAACATCCAAACACCCACCAGCCTTGCAAGGTGGATCCTCTAGATCCGCTTGTATTCTAGTGATTTTCAAAGTGGCCCAAATTCGTCTCCCTTGAGAGGCCCTGCTAAATGAGCCATGATCAAAACTCTTTGGATTGCGGACCCTGTTGACTGGAGTTCGCCTATCCAATCGTGCGAATCAACAATAACGCAATGAGTGGGTATGCCATGGCTCCCGTTCTTGTCGATGGACCAATTTTACGTTGCACAGTCTGGGATGGACGGAACACCGATGCTGCTTTGAAGGTAGTTTGGCCGGGTCGTCCAAAACTCCTATTGAAAGCTAGATGGCCCATTTGGCCTGATCTGATTCCCAACACCAAACACCACGTGCCATGGTGGGTGCCTGACGAGGGCCTGGCGCTGCCCACCTCCAACCAGAGCTTCCCCGAAGCGAAGCTTGGGGAGGGACTGTGATGGTGGGAGGGGCCATATCTTGAAAGGCTGACAACGCCGGTCACCCCATCCATCCATCCATCCATCCATCCTTCCACCCATCCATCCATCCTTCCATCCTAAGAGGATTGGCTCTAAACGTCTGAACTTTATGTTTTCCACTGACCTCTTCAGGAAAACAATGAAACTCGAGAAAACAGGCGTCAGTTCAAAGACACACGGACCTCACTCAAGTGGCAGAAGTGGCCCAAGTGACCAGGGCCTGCGCGGGGCTTCCCCAGCAGTGAGGGTATATAGCTTACGCGCGTGGTGTCGGCGTTGGTGTAGGCGCTAACACGGCGCTAATTGGCGGATCGAGCAATCTGCTGGAAGGTAGTTTGCCCGTGTTTTGCGCTTACGCGAGCACAGCGAAACCACAAAAGTAGAGCCTTTCAACGTGTGTGTTTCGCCTGCGCAGACATTCGCGACTGGGCAAATGATAACACCCTTCCGCGGCCTTCTGTGACCTAGGAAAAAGTTACATGCTCAAATCCACATTTCCTCACGAATGCTCTAGCTTGCTTTGCTCGCAATTTTAAACGCTGCTCACATGGATCCTTCATAGAAACCAAATCATACAAGCACTTCTTGTAAGGAATTCGTGCTTCTGATCATCCGGCCTTCTAAAAAGCTTGGATGCATTCTGCCTCCTTGATTTCCGTGATTTCGTGTTCTTGGGCCCGTTTTCCTTGGGACTCCCACGACGATGGCTTTCCCATGGTTTCCCGCGAGCCTGGGGCATCGGCGAGCCCAGGGCGTCCAGGAAGAAGAGCTCCAAGTCCATGGCTGCGGTAGCAGTGCCTTGGCTTCGAGGATGCGAGGCGAAGAGCCCTGGGAAAAATCGGGATATTTCCAGTTGTCATAACTTCCGTTCAAAACCAACAAGGGAACAACACAATATTCTTAAGCAAATGGAAGACTCCGCGCCAAATCAAAGGTCCAACTTGACAAGTGTCAAAGTTATTTTACAGACTCCACACCAAAGCAGATTTCCAACTTGACAAGTGCCAATCAAAGTTCAAGTATAGTTGGCTTTTAGATGTGTCAAACTACCCTAAATCGGCCAAGGCGGGGGAGCGTTCCGAAAAGCACATCGTCATTTGGAAGACCCGTTTACCCCTTCCTCAAAGTTTCCTGGGCAAGGGGGCAAAAGCATGAAATCAGAAATCCAACAAAAAAAAGAAACACCGCCCGTTGTCCAGTCATGAGTACTCGCGGAGGGTGGTGTCCTTCAAACCTCTCGAACCACACTGCCACAGCTGCTAGCGGTTCCCTCAAAAGGCCTCCCTACGTGCAAGGTCACGATTTTCAACTCTTGGTGTCCAAGGCACTTGTCTGACAAAATCGGAGTTAAGGGATCCCCGAAGGGCGAGCTCGCCATAAACTAGCAAGACTCTCAGCAATCCGTGTTTTTTTTTTTGCCGCCCAGCTGCAAAGCTGCGAGTCTTCAAGGAGCTCGACAGCATCCTGGAGCTGTTTGATCATCCACTCCTGCTGGCTGGAACGGTCCTGGCCGACTGAAATCCATGCTCTCCTCTCATGCGTTGATCTCCAGTCTCTTCACCCATTGTTCTCTTGTGCGCACATTTTGCCAGGGAATCAGTTTCGAGTTTCGGAGGAAATGGATCCCTGAACAGAATGGGGCGAGCACCTTAAGTTATGTGAACTGCGCCTCTTCAGAACTGCGCCTCTTCAAGGAGACAAGCTAAGGATTGCACCCTTCCGTAAAGGCCAAGTATCCGTCATGTCGTTTCTGATGAAAAATGCCAAGACAACCATGTGCTACAGGGACACGTCCCCACAGCCTCAGCCATCTAATTATGCCATAGACAGGTCACCCAATCCAAACAAACTGCACATCAACTCAATCACAGCCCCGTGACCACTGGATAGATGCAGCTTTAAGGGGATTTCTGCGGGATACGAAGCGGGCAACCCCCGGATGCTTTCGAACCCAGGGCCGGTGTACTCAACATTCGAAGGGATCGGCTTCCCAGCGGCATCCCAGAATCTCCGAACCCAAGCCCGAAACGAAGTAGCCTAAGAGACCTGCATAGGCCCTAATAGGCGCCAGGTGAACGTTGGGCGCAACGCTTTATCCTGGCAAAAAAGGGAAACCACACCAAGGGATCTTAAGGATGGAACCCACAGCTGAGTTTGCGAACGACAAGTTGGTGGCCACTGCCCCCATGCGCGAAAGGCGGTTTAGAAAAGAACACACCTTCCGGTGGGTTAGGCGCCACGTTATAGGTGCACTGGTTCACTCACTGAGGGCCTGCCAAACACACGTCAAGAAAAAAGGCCACACCCAGGGGACAGGGCGGGGGGGGGGGGGTTTAGGTTAAGATCGGAATAGCGAAGAAACAGGAGGGTCCTCTAGGTTTGTTTACAAAATACGGGGACTGGGCTTGCAAAAAACCGACTGCTTTTTTGCAGCCCCCTTATAAAAATGAACAGTACAACAAAAGCCAACAACTACAGCTTTTGAAGCCCCATTCTAAACATGAACAGAACCCCCCCCCAAAAAAAAGCAAAAACTGCTAAACAGGAACAGAACCGCCAAAAAACAAACAAACACATTTTCAATTGTGGCTCTCTTCGGTTAAACATATCCCCCCCCAAAAAAAAAGGAGAAGAAAAAAACAATGAGAAGAAGAAAAAAAACACACACACACACAACAAAACTTGCCGGGAGCCGGCAAACGAACAAGGGGCCTCCGACCGCACCCACGCCGACGCCTGGAGCTCTTGGACCACCTCCGCCTTGGCAGTTTTCCTGATCGAGCGGAGCTGTCTGCCGCCGCGCGCACTTCCGAGCGAGTGGATTGGTCCACACAAAAGTCATTTCTGCTCCCATTGGTCCTGATCCATTACCATTTTTGGTTGCTTTTAGTGGATTGGTCCTTGGTTGCTTTCTGTTTTTTGCGAAAAGTTAATGACTTTTAGTGGTTAATGGAAAACCCATTAGTTGGCAAAAAAAATGCACCAAAGAAACTTGGTATGCTCCACCAGAAAAGGTCTTCCCCCAGAAGTTGTTTAGTCCATGAACTCAGGGAGTGAGTCTAAGGTTTTGGTCCAATAAAGGAGTGCCTGATTTGCTGAACAAAAAGAGCAACCTGACTTTTGCTTGGCCATGAGCTGCAAGGCTCGAACTGGGGAAGACAGCCTCCGCCCCGTCACCACAGGAGACAACTCGCCGTGAAAGTCGTCGTTTCACCAACGGCGAGACGGGGAATGCGCCCCTCTGAGCTCGAGAAATGCCAGAAAACCCAGCGTCTAAACGGACACCATCATCCTAGCAGAGTTCCTTCAAAAAACTAGTTATTATTTCAGAAAAAAATCGAAGAGGAAGGGACATAGGACACTGCCAGTTCCTTGATATGTCCCGGTTGACCATCACCCAAGCATGTTCACTTTGGCCCAAAAGTTGTGATGTTTAAGCCACTGAAAGGGACAATTTGTGTGGACCCTGCACTGGGGATGGTTGCACATGGAGCCGCGAGTTTGGGCCCTCGGCCTCCGCCTTGGTTTCAAGGGAGGGGCTTGGCCGGAAGGAACCTCCCAAAGTTTGATTTGGCGGCGGGTGAACAATGGGCACCCAAAAAGGGAATGGCAAATGGAACCACGGACTAAAACTTGCGGTCTGGTGGGTTAGTTTTGACTCAGACCCATTTTGCCTTCCGCCAAGTCTGACCTTCCACTCCAAAGACGATCTTCCCCCCGATGAACAAACTGCTCTGCCCCCCCTCCCAAAAAATAGTTCCCGGAAAAAGGACCTCCTCCAAAGCAACTCACTTATCTTCCTCCAAACAAGTGAGCGACTCTATAAACCTCCCATCAATCCCTATGTCGTATCAAGTTGCTTACGCGCAAGCTTGCGCTTTCCTTACGCGACCCATGTTTTAGCTTACACGGCAGTCAGCGGGCATTTTAGGCTTACGAACGGCTTACGCGCAGACGTTTTGAGCGTTTCCCCTCAAGAATTGCTTGCGCGGGCTCCTTGTCTCATGCAGCCGCCAGAACTGTTCAAGATGATGTGGATGACTCTGAGGAAGAAGATGACGAAGAACTACCCTCACGAGTTTCAGCGGCTTGGCATTGTCGTTCTTGCTGCAAGTCAAGAAACGGGATATGCGGCAGCGGCATCCATAGCGAGGGCTAGCGGGCAGCCCAGCTAGGCGAGCTTACGCGAACCTTACGCGCCTGCTTACGCGAGCTTACGCGCCCGAGCCCCTCTAGTTTTCCTAGACCAACGTTTCAGAAGACTTTGTTTGTCCTAGTAAAGGTTGCAACAGCAGCTAGCATGAGCCCCAAGAGCTCCCAATCAAGGTTCTGCTGGTTTTGTTTTCTAATGGTGTGCACATGCAGTCTTAGACGTCTTCCTGCAGACAAAGTCTCCGGGCAAGTTGCCAAGCTCGCAACAGCACAAGCCACCAATAAACACATTGGCACAACCCTTCCGAGCATGCTGGCAAAGCTTACCCAGCAATCACGAAGAAGAGCTTACGCAGGTGCTTATGCAGTATGTTTCCCCAAAAAGTGCTTACGCCGGCTTACGCCATGCAGAGTTTTGCTTACGCCGGGCCTTGTTATGACACAACTCTTGCTTGGGATGTAACAGGGGGTTTTTAGAGCTGCTCAAGTCTCGGCCCCACCCCCTGAACAAGAAAAAAATATCAATTTCCCACATAGAACCCTGGAGGAATTTCGCGACCAATGTGGGTTAAGGCTCATGGACAGGGTCGTGTTGTATTCCTCCCGGGTCTCTTGGAGCATGATCTCCATTGCTTGCCTGGCCGAAACCGAGATTTCGGAGCCCGAGGCGCGGCGAATTCTGCAGCCCTCCCCACTGTGGATGGACGAAACCCATTTCGCACCACCTAAGAAACCAGCGGAAGGATGATTCCCCTGTAAATGCCAACAAGCAATGGTTTTTCATGGTTTCAAAGTGGTGCGAAATGGATTTCGTCCATTCACAGTATTAAAGGAACCACCGCAAAAGGGACCCCTTATACGACCCAAAAGAAAGGATTTGCCGCTGAACGGCCAAACAAACGCTCAAAGGAAAAACGCGAGGGAGCGCCTCACTTCCCGGCACTGCCGTGGCTCTGCCAGAAGCTCGATCCAGGGGCGGACCTAACGAGCAGGTTGATAATTGGAGGGCGTTCCCTTTGAGTGATATGTTCCATTTTGGAGGGGGTCCTTCGCTTTGCAGGGGAGGACGCCCCTAACACTTTCCGGCTCGATCAATCTGGAGTTGACGTTCGGAGGTTCACTCGGGTTGTACAAGGGGAGATGTGGGCAGGGAAAGGGAGTCAGGAAATAATAAGCAAGTGAACTTTAACTGACATGGGATTCCAGGGTTGAAGCGAGATTGGTCAGGTACTGCACATGGCCCGCCCCCCATCTACCATATCTACCCGTGCAACATGGGGAGAACGGATTCAGACCTGGGAACAATGCTCCAGGCACTTGCTCCCGAAAAGGCACGCACTCCAGGGCGGAAAGGCACGACTGGATCAAAGGGTGTGTATGTCCACACCTCTGCACTCATGACTGTTCACCCTCCTGAATTCTGATTCGGGAATCGCTGGACGCGGGACCCTACTTCAGCTCGTCTTTTCCCAGTTTGCTATCTCAATACGAATCCCAAGTGCCTGGCCAACTCAATATCATCCGTGTTTTTTTGAGAGGGGGACCCCCTCAGCGTGGGTATTTTCCATGTGAAACGAGTGTTTCTCCGAATTGGGGAGTTGTGTGCAGTTATCTGTGTATATATCCTTTGACCGCGATCTGCGCTGCAACTTTGGCCAGCTAGAAAGCATCTCATCCATCGCATCCTGCACTGAGTCGTCCCACCCTCCACTCTGGGCTAAGATGGCACTTGCAGCAGAAGACATGACCTACGAGGATCTCAAGGAGATCGTGGATGGCTACCTATGCCGACCTTGCGCCACAGTAGTCGCCTTGCAGAGCTGTTCCTGCTGGAGCTCCTAGGTTGTAAATCTTCTGGCAAGCTTCGTATGTTAAACGAAACTTTTCATCTGAACTTTGTCCTGTCATCACCTTATTACCTGCAACTTTGAGAGGCCCTGCTCCTACATCTGCCCAACTAACTGACAAGCTGGTAACCTTCTTCAGCTGCCTGAACTTAAGCAGCTTTCAGCTCCTACCTGATCTCAGTCCACCTCTTTCTGTCGTCCCAACTGGCACCTTTGAGCTCATCTGCAGAGAAGACCAACTTCTTGCTTGGATCTTTGGCCCAAAGTGGGACTTGATCACTCGTGCCGATTACCAGTGAGGATCGTTTCTTAACTATCATCTCTGCATCTGCAACCAAATGTGCATCTTCAATCTCAGCAACTGGAGCAAGCGCCTAGATGCCAGAGCTTTCTGTCAATATCCTGGAAGGCTGGGCCCGCGCCTGTTCTTCAACTGGTGCCAGGCGAGTAGTCTGATCTTTGCTCAAGTAAGCTGCACCTAGCCATTGGATCAGCTTCTCTACATAAGAAGCTGCATACTTTGAGCTCTGCTGGAGCTTGGTCTTTCTCTGTAGGGCACAGTCAGCTTCTTTCAGCCAAGCTTTCCTTTGCATCTCATTTCTGCAAAGCTCTGCCCTGACCATGCATCTCTCTGCCCTTGCAACCAGAAGGGCAAAGAACTCTTTCAGCAGCTCATTCTTTGAAACGTTGTGGCTATAACTCCTTTCTTTCTGCAACCACTTGCCAAGTTGAGAGATCTCTCTGCTAAACTCTCTCTTTCTCCCTCCACTAGCTGCTCTGGCAAACCTCTTCTGCAATCTTCCAGCCTCTGTGTGCTCATCTTGAACTTTCTCCTTGCAACTGCCCAAGCTTCTGCTTCTGAGGCTGAGACTCTTCCAGAATCATTTGAATCTCTTCACTAAGCTTCATCTTCTGAAAGGCAAAAAGCTCTTGCTTCCTGGAAGGATCTGTCTCCTTCTTCCTGTTGCTTAACTGCCCACCTGCAGTTCCTCTACGCTCTTCCAGAACTGGAGGCCTGCCACCTTGTCTGCCTGTTACAGCTTCTTCTGGGTCTTCTTTCTCCAGCTCTGCTAGCTTCTGGAGGTAAGCTGACATCACTAGTGCAGCTTCTTTCTGCAGCTTGCTCTGCTGCTGCCTCTGGTATGGAACTACCCTGTTAGATAGCACAGGCTCTATCTCCTTGGCTTGCTGCTCTGGTGTTCCAAAAAACTTCTTTACGCTGAACTGTTTCTTCTCTAAGCTAGCTGGGCTGGGGCTGGGTGCAAGCTGGCTGGAAGCTAAGGACTCTGTCGGGCTTGCTGTCACCTGAAGCTGTGTTGTCGGGCTGGCCACACCTTTGGTTTTCTTGTTGTTTGGTGTTTGAAAACCTTCTAAGCTCTTTCTTGCAAAGCTGTCCTGTGGTGAAGCTTTTGCTGCAGGCAGCCTTAGAAACATCGAGAAATCAAAAGAAGGTGTCCAAAATCAAAAAAAAACATTGAGAATTCGAAAGAAACCATCCAAAATCAAAAAAAACATCGAGAAATCGAAAGATTTTGTCCAAAACCGAAAGAAACCTCGAGAAATCGAAAAAAAAAATCTGGCCAACAGAATGTTTACATGATACCAGCACATTGTCCCAGAATCTTTGTTTTTTTTGGTTTTTTTTTCGATTTCTCGAGGTTTTTTTTGGTTTTGGACAAAATCTTTCGATTTCTCGATGTTTTTTTTTCGGTTTTGGGACAGGAGCCTGACATCTGCAAGGGGGGTAAGGTGGAGAACTGTTTGCATGATACCAGCACATTGTCCCAGAATCTTTCGATTTCTCAATGTTGTTTTTCGGTTTTGGACAGGAGCCTGACATCTGCAAGGGGGGGGTAAGGTGGAGAACTGTTTGCATGATACCAGCACATTGTCCCAGAATCCTTTTTTTTCCTCGGTTTTGGCCAGAATGCAGCAAAATTAGGTGTGTGCAAAAACCCAACGCTCACAGGGTCCCTTTCTGTTTTTTTTGGGGCCCAAATTAGCCATGAGCTTTTCTGTGGATACAAAAAAGCCTTGAAAGTGCTGGCCCATTGGCAAATGCCCACACTGCGATCTTTTCCAGTCCCTGTTTGCATCTCCAGGTCACTTTGATTGGGGATGCATGTGATTTGGACCAAAATCCACGGAGGCAAAAAGTGCAGGCCACACCCACTGCGGGGGGAAGAAAAATCGCAACTGGCCTGGCTGTCACCCGGTTCCTTCCCCACAGCCATCCAAATGGCAAAGACTCAGACCTGCGGTTTGCCCTGGCTCTGATAAGTTTTGAGCCACACCCTTTACGGGCACAAAGGTGATCCAAAGTGGGAAGCACGTGCGCCGAGCGGCAGCTCGCACGGCCTTGGCGCGGGTCTCGCGAACCTGGAGAAGAACGGACGGCTCAGCTTCCAGTGACTTAGTCAAAGCCCAAAATATCCCCGTAGGACCGTTTCTTTGGCTGGTGTGTGTGAGAGCAACCCACCCTTTTGCAGGCAATGTGCGTCATGCTGACGCAGAAAAACTACTAAAAAAGAGGTGAGACACAGCGCGGCATCCAACACGAGCAGCATGTGTGTTCCCCAACCTTAAGGGGGAGGGGGGGTGGGGGTCTCCAATTCCATCTATCTAGTCTTCCCCATAAACGGGAAAATGGAACCGTGAATGGAAATTCTAGGGGTCATACCCCTCCCCCGATTCCATCTTTAAAGGGATGGGATCCCAAAACGTTGTTTGCTTTTTAGGCACATTGTTTTTGGTCCAAACCATAGTTAGCCAACCTCAAAATGATAAATAATATCTGAGGCGACCCATGCTTCTTGGCAAGTTACAATAACTGAGTCACGCAAATGTGTGGTGTATCCCTACTACTCATGCGCACTGGGTTTATGTGCTCAGCTTTTGGGCAAACTACAACAACGCCGAGCAGGAATACCAGGCTCCTCTATTACAGAAACCTTCTCCATCTCCTGTTAGCTTCCTTTTGGAAAAGCCATACCCCATGGTTTCCTTTTGGACAGGTTAAGACATGACCCATCCCCTTATGAGAAACTATGGTGTCCGCTTGAAAGGAAAAAACATATTTACCCTCCCACCCTTCTCGCGCAAAACCTGACGTTCGGGACCCGGTCCCTTTCAAAGGAAAATGGTCCAGCAGCCAGGACCCTTTCTCACGGCGAACGGTTCCATGTGCTAATTGCTGGGAGGGTATTGCACCATGGAATTAAGTAGGTTAGAACTTACAACCAGGCTTACTAACCACTTCCTACATACCCTGCCGCGCCGCTTTAAGCGGGTCCTATTTCACCCCCCCCCCCCCCCCGGCCGAACGCGGTGAACATCTACGCCCCATCCGCCCACCCGCCTGGCGCTCCAGTGCTTCGGCGCCGCCGGCGAAGCGCACGCAGTCCCGGGCCTCCGAGTCCGCACCCCGATTTGCAGAGGCGTCCGCACATGGGACTCCAAAAACGAGGCTCAAAACCACCTCGTAACCAAAAAGGCCTCCGAAAATATGCATGGCGACTACCACGCAGCCTGAGAAGAAAGAAAAAAAAACGGTTCGTAAGCAAATCTGGGGATGTATGGGTATGTATGAGGGGTTCGTGGTTCTTTTTTGGACCACTGAGCTGGTAAATAAGCCGTGGACCTTTGCTTTCCCTCCTAGTCAGGAAGTGAGAACATGGGTCCTCCTACTTGCAATCATTCAGTAAAAAAAGATCTTCAAGTTCCCAATCTTCTATCTCAGCCCTCCGCCAACTTGATAGGCTGCATATGCAACCTGATGTCAAGTGTCCACAGGTCCTGACACACACACACACACCAAAAAAGAATCATGCCGCCCGGGATCAAACGAAACACACAACAACAGAAACAACAGCAGCAAAAACAAAACTAAAAACACACACCTTGTCTTAGACCTAACACTGGCCAGTGCAAGCAAATTGGTCACCCTGAGTGGCTAAATTGGTTTCGGTGAATTCGTCAGGTTGCTTCATCCGAAATTCACATCATGACATAATTTCCCGACAGTGTGCCCTGAGTAGGATGGGGCGCAAATAATCAGGGCCCCCAAAATGGGAATATTGTTTGCATTTCACTTGAACACCATTGGTAGGTGGCATTGGTGGTTTGGAGGTTCAGGAGGCGTCCCGTGTCTAGGGGTTCATTTCCACAAACGGTCCTCCGGACTGTGGGGTTCACACAAAAAGCCCTCTAGGCAGCCCACTTCAAATGGCCCAAAAAAATAATTAACCATTGTAATAAGAAAACATTGTGGGTCGATTTAAAGGTTGGACAACCAATATGGTAACCACAACGGCAACCAATATGGTTCAACCCATGGGTCGATTTAAAAAGGAAAGCCAATGGTTCAGCCACCGGCGAACTCTCCTGCAGTCGGGCGTAGAGGCTCTGCAGCGCCAGCTGCTCTGTCTCCTCTGCCGCCTTGGTGCCGCGACCTCGGCATCCCGACGCATGCCGACTCGGTGACCGACTCGGTGACCGACGTTTGAACTTACCCCTTCAAACTCCCTGCGCCCTGGGGAAGTTCTCATCTTTTACAGACACTTTTTCGCCCATGTCACCCCCAAAAAGTTACGAGAAACGTTTCGTGGTTTTTCAGCGGTCGAGTCGGAAGCCCTCCCGACCGACCACTGACACCTGAACACCCGAGGGAGGGCACCCTCCTGTCCGCTAACATGGAACCCACCGGTGAAATGGTCGAGTTGGGGAAAAATCGTCCGAAACGTCTGTTGTGTCCAAAAGGTCTAAAGGTCCCACCACGACCAGCCTTACTCAAGCCCTTGTGCGGTGTATGGGGTGTATAGTGGCTATCTCTAAGCCTCATCCACCCGGATGTAGATTGTGGCTGGCTTCTTGGAGTGGTAGCCCTTTTGTTGGCTTGGCTTAAATTGCAAAAGGAAACAGTATGTTTCGGGGGGTGAAAGTCCCTGTTTGCGTACATCTTGTTTCAGGACAAAACTCAAGGCCCTCCCACCCCTGGAAGGTTGAATTGAACCTTCCTGGTGCGCTGGGCCAACAACCACCAGAAGAAACAGAGAGAAGCACACAGAAACGCCTGACAAGACTGATGCCACACCGACACAGCCAACAAAAACCGGTTCAACACACAAAAAGACTGCTAAGAGATTGAACACCAAGGCAGAGAGAGAGACTGGGGGCCTAACGCAGGGCTTGCAGGGGGTCGCCCCCTGCCTCGACATCCTTCGCGGCCTGCAGGCATTTCGAGCGGGGTTTGGTCAGACTTAAACCCAGATGTTTCCCTTTGGGCGAAATCAACCACTGCGTTTAATTTAAGTCTACCTTAGGGTAGTCAAAAAGTGGAACCCTGGGTTTGGGAGGTACTGTGGATGGCAGCAAAACCCTCTTAGGCACCCCAGATTCAGACACCTTGGGATGCTGATTCCCCCGTAAATACCATCCAATTTCAATGTGGTGAAGGAATTCGTCCACGCAAGCTTTCCAGGAAACAACAAAATTCAATGCAGATGGCTGATTGCTGCGAAGAACGATGGTTGGAAAGAGGAAGGCAATAAAACTGTAGATCTGTCTTGGCCCACATATTTTACAGAAAGTCGCAACTTGTTAATTCTGTCTCATATATAGCTTACCGTAAGGTATAACATATTTCTTGGAGGAGACCCCAGAAAAGTCGAGGGATTCCTGGGGAAAGTGAGGGTAGTCCCCTTTTCAGCGACAGCCGTGGGTTCGCATGTTCAAGCGGAGACTCATCTCAACTTTGCCTAAATACGGTGGATGGACGAAATCCTGCACCACCCAAGAAACCCTGGAATGATGATTCCCCTGTAAATACCAACAAACCAATGGTTTCCCATTGTTTCCAAGTGGTGCGAACTGGATTTCGTCCATCCACCGTATGTGATGTTCACAAAGGAAACTCGCCCGGCGATTCCACGAGGCATCGGGACACGCCGCTATAGCCGCGAGAACTCGGCAGGGCGGCGCGCGCTTTTTTTTTGCGCCCGCGAGAACTCTCCAGCCAAAGTCTCGGGAGGTGGCGAAGGAAGGGCAACGTGTCCAGCTCAGCGCCCAGCGATGGTAAAGCCTGGCCTTAGGCGAAGGTATCCCCGGAAAGGGGTGCTCAAGTGGTTGTGGTTGGGGCGTGGTCCGGCCGGGTTCCAACTAGGTGCCGAATGAGTCTTGGCAAAGGTCGCTCCTGTCGGCCATGGTTTTTCCATGCCCGAAAGGCTTTTGCAGGCAGTTATTCGGGGACATCCTTTTCCTCTCTTTTCTTTGACAGCGACTTGACCAGTGGCAATGAAAACGAAAAGGACACCGTGTGGGAATTCCACTTCTGGGATACCAGGGAAAGGTTCTTTAAATGAGTAGCTCATGGTAGTTCATCATTGACAAGGGAGGCTCCATAAGGGAACCCACGAAGAAACAGGAAGGAGTCAGGAAGGACACATGCCAGTGGGCAACTGGGCGTAGGAAGAAGGCTTCAACAAATCTTGTGGTCTGATTGTGGAAACTCGTTTTTTTCCTCATAAAAGTGAATAACTTTTACTTCCTCGGCCATTAAATAAATGTCCTTGGGACAACGGACATTTTTTGCTCGAGAAAGGACATTTTTTGCATCCACTATGGGGGCTCAATTTCTTCGAGTGCTCTGATCAGGGCAAATTGACGATAGACAAACCATAGACATACCGTAACCATATCATAGACATACCACAGGCAAACCATTCGGGAAAACCATAGGCAAGCAAATAACCGCTATGAAAAGTACGGTGGAAGTCAGGGGTACTTGATTCTGCAGAAGGGGAAGCACATTGCAAAATCAGGATATTCACATTAGGTCGAGTCGTAAAGCCGAGATTTGTTGAGCTCGTTGCTCGTTGCTTGTGACCGAAAGGGACCGTAGACAAACCGTAGACAACCCGTAGAAAGTACATTTTCTGCCGTAGAAAGTACATTTTCTGCCGTAGAACGGCCATTTATTGCCGTAGAAAAGACATTTTCTGCACATCCCGCTTTTGCACCATTTTGGTGTTAATTCGCGGCACGTGACTTCACAGACTTTGTAGCTCTTTTCTGGCTTGGCAATTGCCAATATGCATGCATGGATCGATGGATGGATGCTGGACCAGTATATGCAGAAATCAAATAAACAGTTCCCGAGCCATGCCCCGTGGCTGACGTTGGCAAGTTTCTGCAGAAGGCAGTGCGAAGCGCACGAAGCACTCTCAAGCTCGGCAAAATGGGACTGTGCAGCCCCCTCCAGCACTTTTAAGTGCGATTTTCGTGAAAATCATTATCCAACCAAATTTAAGCAAAAAAATGCCTTTTCCCAGAAAATGTACTTTGCCACCTCGGCCATTTATTTAATGTCCTTTGGAAGTCTAGCATGGAAAACCCATTAGTTGGCAAAAAGCTAAAGTCCTAACATCCCTTAGCAAAATGCACCCAAGGAATGTTGGGAGCTCGAACGAACGAGACAGGAGGACGCCGCCGCAAGGGGATCTCGACTGATGCAAATCCATGTGCACGGCTGTTAATACTGAGGGGGTGCTCCCCACTTCTGTGCTACCATGAAAACGGTGAACTACTCATTCAAAAAGCTTCCCTTGATATCCCAGAAGTGGAATTCCCACACGTGTGCGGATGCCTTGCATTTTGCACCCACGTATCGCGCACGCGCATGCAAGTGCTCACGTTCACACACACAAACACAAACCAAGCACGCAAAAACACAAAATGTTCACACACCCAAACACACAACACCACCAACACAGAAACCATTGAGCACGGAAGCAAAACAAACACAAACGCACACTGCTGTGACAAACAAACAACAACAGTTTACAGGGTGCTTTACGACCACCGACCATGTGTGGAGGTGCTAGCATCAAAATGGCTTAGCCAATGCACGCCAGCCAACATATCGCCACCAAAGCCACGAGAGGGCCGGCAACAAACAACACCCAGGTTGCAAAACCAATAGGCAGCCAGCAAACAAACATACCATTGAAATATTGTCATTGCTCTTATAAATCCACCTTTCGCAGAAAAAGAGACGCTCCCATACACATGCTCATATCATCCCACAATGGTTTCGTTTGACACTCTTGGCATTAACATCCGCTGGGGAGAGAAGCCTGAAGAAATTACCTCGAATATTCAGGGAAACTAGCAGGAGGGTATTCGAAGACTGCTCATTGTTGGAAGTAGGGCATCGTCCCAGGACGCGAAAAGCCCTTGGGTACGAGGAGCAACACTGGAGACCTACGCCAAGAGCTGCGCTGCGCCACAACCCCGAAGCCAAGGAGCCCTTCCAAGGCTGATCCATCTGGGGGGTGAGCCTTGGCATGTTTTAATGGGACTAGGGGGAAGCAGTACTACACAAGCCCTCCAGTTGCTTCAGGCATGACACATGCAATGAATAGAAACTTTCCAGTCACAATCCGCCTGCAAAACCGAAACCCAACTCAAGGAACTCACACGACGACCAGTCGCATTTTGTGGCTCACGCTCAGTGCTGGTATATGTCGAGTGATGCCAAGGTACAAAAGAAAACTTGGTCCCAAATTTGGCTCTTCCTTTGAGAAAGCCATGTTTGCTGCGCCGCCGGGATGCTTGTCACGCTCAAAAAACGCGCGTGAAGCAGGCGTCTTGAAATGACTCTCATGGCGCTGTCCGGTGGCCCCCAAAAGTGGGTGGTTCCCGGTGCTCCCCTGCAACTTCACATGCAACCCAAAAACGTGCCCCAAAAGCCGAAAGGAGATTCCTCGAGGCTTTTGTGGGTTCCACGTGTCCACTGCAGGGGAGTGGCTGATGAAATTGCACAAATTCAGCCGTTGCGGCAGAAGCCTCGGCTTGGTAGAGACGTGGTCAAGATTAGGCCAGACCGGCTGACTTCCCGAGTGGGTTGGTCGGAACAAACTGAACTCTGTGTTTACCACTACGCTTCAGAAACCCAGGGAGTGAAGGGGTGAAGAAACCTGATGCAATTCCCGCATGGCGGGCACATCCGGCAGGTTGTCAGCCAAGGTGCCTTTTTTGCCATGAGCAAAGGGTCACAACATTTTGCGAGCACAACACCACCTTTGTGATTACAAAGTGGGGTGTCGTTGTCCTTTTGACAGCCTCACACGTGCAAAAACAACTACACGAGGTTGTTTCTGTTCCATCCGGTTCTAGTAAAAAAAAAAGCATCTGTGAACTTTGAACCCCGGCTCATTTGCACATGTGCATCATGTGTCTAGCATGCTTCTACAAGGTCTAGCATTTGTTGACTACGGTGTTGCGCCGCATTACTAGCAATATTCTAGCAACATGTCACGTGTGTGTGTTCCATATTGCTAGCATGTCTCGCTGCATCTCAGCATGACATGCGTGCAAATCATGTAAACTTCGTCCAGCGCGTTCGCAGGCAAATAGTTGAGAGTGTACTGGAAGTATGCGCAAGCCGAACCTGAAGATGCATGCCCCAGGCTTCGCACAGAGAGACATCCTTAAATCACATGAGCCACGGTCAACAATACTTGCTTTCCCAAGAATACATGTGAACTCTAGCCAGTCCCTGGCGTTTGTTCCCCTATGTCCCTCTTAAATGGACGTTCCAATTAGCTGGCAATACTAACTTTCAGTATGGCCAGCGTGCATCCTTTTAGCAACCCGAGGACGCACAACAGGCATAAGCTAGAAAGACTAAGCTAGGTTTGTGCAGGTCTGCGGCATCCACGCTAAACATATGCTAATAATGCGTTGGGCAAATAATGATAACATTTAGCCAGACCCAGGGGCGCACACAGACACAAACACACACACACACACACACACACACACACAATCACACACACAATCACACACACAATCACACACACACAATCACACACACAATCACACACACAATCACACACACACACATACATACACACACAGGGACAAGCACGGAAAAAGACACACACACACACGAAACACCTTTAGGTGCATACACATCGAAGTGGATACAGTATTATATATATATATATATGGATATATGCATACATCGGCATATACACACGTATATGCATGTAACATAATAAGGTATAAGGTAGATACATGCAAGGGCCATGCTAAACCTCACAAATATTTTAAGCCACATGGATCACGAAAACGAACAATAGCCATGCTGGAAATGTGCTCGGGATGATGTGCTGGACGCGTGCTAGGTGTTGGCTAGGGGTATGAATGGCACGTGCCAGGAACTGGCTGAGACATGTCGAGTGTGTGAGACCTGCTGCAGGCAAATCGTGCGAGTATAGTATAAAAGAATCGAACTAAACACGCGCACACACACAGAACACAGACCCACAAACACAGACACACAGACACACAAACACACAAATACACAAACAAACAAACACTCTCTCCCTCACACACGTACGTACGTGCACACACACACACAGACACACACACAGACACAGACACAAACACAGACACAGACACAGACACACACACACACAGACACACAGACACACAGACACACAGACACACAGACACACAGACACAGACACAGACACAGACACACACACACACACACACACACACACACACACGTGTACGTACGTACGTACGTACGCGCACACACACACACACACACACGGAATTAGTCGTTTACCACATGTTCTGTTGAAGGCTGAAATCACAACTAAATAACAAGGCCCATGTAAGTGTTTTGCTTGGCCTTAGTAAGGCTAATTAATAAGGCTTATTCATCCCTGCCTGACCTTGGGAGGGTTCTCTTCGTGGGTTGTCTTCGAGGGTCGTCCCTTCAAAAAGATGGCACTCGACTCCAAACAGTCGCGGGCCCATGGTTGGTTCCTGAAAGGGAGAAATAAACTCAAAACAAATGGACAAAGGCCATTCTTCGGATCTGGGCGGCGGCGGCAAACTGGCTTTGAACGACCTGTCCAAAAAAGTGACAACATTTGGAAAATTTAAAATTGGACGTCTGTGGAGCACCAGGCCTTGACAAACAGCGCGTTTGCCCTCTGCCGGGCGATAAATTGAATCGGCCCTCCAGCGTGCCGCCGCGACGGGAGTGGGTCGGCTAGAATCCCACTGAC